AATAATAGCCAAATTTCAAATCACGGCCCGCTAGGATTTGGCTCGATTTAGTTTTACAAAGTTCATGTTGGTTTTGGCTTAGTATTAAACTTTTTCAAACTTGTTTCAGTTAAGCTTTGAGCCTTTGACTGAGTCGAGTTCATGCAAGAAGTTATATTGAGCCAAGCTCAATTTAATTAAAACCCTAAAAATAACTAATAATTTTGCAATCTTCTTATCTTCTATCTAAGAATATTAACATATCAATGAAGAGGGACCTTCCGCAGAAAGAACATATTAGCTATGCATCATGATCCAAATAATGCTAACTACTTCTTGACCTTGGCTTTTAATTTCAATACTAATTTAACCCTAATTATATATTATTTAATTAACTTTAACTTTTCACGATTCGTACAATTTCCTAATTAAAGGACCTTCACTGCTCCAAATTGGTACTTTGATCAAGCTTTATAGTTAATTACCTTAATTAAAGTATGATTAGCGAGAAGTGACTTCAAATGAGCTTCATTTTGATCACAAAAGTTGAAAAGAGTCTGTTGTAGTAGTTGTCATCATGATACCCATTAATGCCCTTAAAATATTAATACAAGATCATTAAAGCAAATTATATTCCCTCTTTACTTATCTAATTTAATTAATATAATTTTTATTATAATATGATTACTTAAGCAAACATAATTGGCATAATGACCATAATGATTGCACATCCTTCCTTAGTTCCACTATATATAATATGTGATCTTCACTAAGTAGATTACACATTATCAAACAAAACTAACTAGCTTAGACCATAATTATAAGTCCTAGTAAAAGATATCATTAATAAGTATTAGTGAGTATGTTAAAGTCTACTAGAGGTTCATTCCTTCCAAATTCAACCCTTCTAGCGGGGTGGTGCCGCCCACGAAGGAGGCTGAGAAGGCGACGACTGAGCTCTATAAGGTTGGGGAATCGACGCCGGGTGTTTAGTCTTGGGTCACGCTCGGTGGTGCATTGGAGTTGCATGGCAGGGCCACTACGGGTGTTGAAGAAGTTTATAGTTGATATAGGGGTTAATGGGAAGTGGATAGAGGCTTATTTGAGGTCCTTGACCCTTTTACGGCCACAAGCTTTTCCTTTGTGTTGATTTTCTTTTTTTCTTCCTTCATTTTTTTTTGGGTCAAGCTATTGTTGAACTTAATTTCATTTTTTGACCCAAAATAAGGGGATAAAAATAGCATTTTGTTGTGTAATTAACTATATGTAATGTTAATTATGGTCTATGTTATTATGTTGAAAATAGGATGTATTATGTTGTTATATGATAACTATGATCATGAGGGCAACCTTTTCCTGTTTTACAACAAATAAATGTGTACATTATTTCATTTGAGCTTCTTCTTTTTTTTGCAAGGGAAGAAGATGGAATACTGCGTATTTTATGACTAGGTACAATAATGAAGATAATGAGTAGTTAGTCTAATTAAGGAGAAATTCATGAGAAAAAGTATACTCCGTATATAAAGATGTGTTTAGAAGTTACAATTGCACCATCATAGACAGACCTAACTTCCAAGTATACCTTCATCTATATATTAAAAAAAAAAAAAAAAAAAGTGCAAATTACAAAAACAACTGTCAATATTCACCAAAGGGATCGCCTTCATCTATCGTTGCATTTATTTTTGGGGTTGTGATACTTAAATTACAGAGTTTCCTCTATTTCTAAATATTTGCCTCAGTTTCCTTTTTAATCCGTCCCTTTAAGTTTGCCCTATCCTAATATGAGACCATTACTTTACTCTACTGTACTTGGCCCCACCACTTTTTACTATAGGACAAATATTAAAGACGGAGGGAATAATGTTAGGAAGTAAATCATAAAAATTGTTTATCGTACCACACATGGTACAACCATACAACCTTTCATCCGATCCCCATCACTATCGTGAAATTCGTGATTCAATTCATGAACTTCTATTGCTATTCACTTGTTCATTGTTACTACTCATTCAGTTGGGATATAGTCATCACATTGTTTTTATTTGAGCATATCATAATTCAAAATTTAACATAATTCCTCCAAAATAATCATCTTTTGTATATGTAATGCATCATTCTATTTCTAATACTTCGTATATATATGTAAGTTTTACATTATTGGATGAATTGAAGTAGTGTTATTCTAATCACTTATACTTAAGCAACTTCTCTTATATATCCTTTCTAATAATTAATGATAAGCAAAACCTTAATCTACACAAACACCTCCTAGGATGTAAAAAGGTAGTTGTACTAACCTAATAAGCTAAGGTACGCATCATGTCAGTCCATAAGGAATGTATTAATGTAATAGGAGAATCAACACTAACGTCCAATTTACCAAAATTTCCGGGATGTGTTAATGGCAACCATTAGTAGTTTATAATAAAGATGGATTTGCTCGATCTAGTACTATTAACATTAATTAAGCCAATTATCAATCAATCTAGTTTGTATTTGTAAGAGGAGCCAAATTAAAGTTATGCCACAATTCCTGGGATCTACCAACGTCAACCATGAGCTTATATATTCCCTTTTTTTTATGTCTTTGGAGAGAGAGAGAGAGGAGGATCTATAATCTAATTAGAATATAGATTTTTTTGATAAAGAAATGATATTAGGATAATCTCTAAATTCTACTATAAGACCAAACTATCTAATCCATTTGAATGATTAAAGAGAAGAATCGTTATAAAATGTACGCGAGCCTATAGAGAAAAAGAAAGGAATGAGAATGACCATGATTAGCCATGAAATCGATCACCTGATTTGTCTTGCAATAGCAATATTTGAAAGTGACGAAGTCAAAACAATGAAGATCTCTTTAAACATACGAAGTGTTTCGGATGAAAACAATAGGACCTTCGGCAGACCCTTTTCGGTGGGAGAAGACTTATCTCGGTCCAAGTTGAGACTGGGCCGAGGATTTCTTGCACAACAAACACACGTAAACTAGCCTCGGGGGTGGTTGCCGAGGAAGGCACCTCCAATACTAAAGTCAGTTCAGTGTGAGAAGAATAAGCTATGCCAGAGAATTAGTTGCTTAAGACTTACTGTGTATGAAGTGAATATTTGTCGATCCTCCATAAATAAGATAATTGATGACTTTTATACCTTTGCTCAAAATATGAGGATTGGGCCCTGGAGTCAGATGGGCTTGCCATGCTGACTGGCTTGATTGACTTTAGCATGCTTTGGAGAGTTAAAGCTTGCTTTAAGCTTTTGTAATTGCATCATTTGGACCGGCCCAATTAGACTTAGTTGAATTGGACCCAAACACGAAGTATTATTTAAGAATGACGTGGATTGACAAATAAAGGTATTTGAGCAAAGGAAGATAACACCTCAATAATAGTCAATACCTTCTCAAAGCACCAAAACTTTAACAATAAGGAGCTGACTGAGTATTAGTATACACTATACAGACTATACACCATAACACTTTCATTTTGACCATTTTTGAATGCAATGCAACCATCAAAACAATGAATACACCATAACACTTTCATTTTGACCATTTTTGAATGCAATGCAACCATCAAAACAATGAATGAACTAGTATTCGGAAGATATATAAATGTCAATTTAATGTCTAGTACCAAATTCACTCACCCATTGTAAAGTTTACCCCAAATCCACAAATTCTTCTCCAATATTTTAGGGAGTTATAAATATAATGAGTTCAAAGTTACATTGAAATATTATTGTTGATTATATGAGATCAAAACTAGTTTTAAGCCCCTAAATTGATGACATGAATATAAAATAAAATTTCTTCGTATAATTTGCCTTTTGGGCCTCCTCAAGCATGATATCTAAGCATTAAAATAAGCATATTGAAGCAAATTTGGTTGCATAGACCCAACTTAAAACTAATGTGCCAAATAGCCATAAAACAACGACATTTTTCTTGCCAGGGTGCATCCATTCATTTATCAATCGCAGGATGTTCAGTTCAATACCTACTCTCCTACTCTACTCCCTCTTTTCCTAAATTTTTGCCCAATTGGCAAAATATGGGTCAAATTTCAAAATTTTTGGCCGCTAAATATTCTTAATCTATAAAAGATAATATTGTCATCTGAAATTTATTGGATTCGTTTCATCGTATATTTTATCAATATTTAGTCTTTATTACTTTTTCACGTATAAAATTAAAGATAAAACTGTTGTAAAACACGCCTTGGAGATCGTAAAAAATCAAATGGGGCAAAATATTAGAAACAGAGGAAGTATTATTTTTGTTTTCGTATGAAATATTTTCGAAAATCGAAATACCAAAAAAGTAAACTAATAACAAAAAGGATTCAATGAATAATTTATTTTATGAACTTTGTTATTCTTTGTGTATTTTGTTTTAAATTTAGTTTCTTTAATTGCAACTATTGTACAAGAAAACTTAATACCAAGTGTGGTTTTATTAGAAGTTCATGTGTACTTTGAAATAATTGATAAAAAAATTTCTTAGTATGGGGTAATACATAGTCAAAAGCATTAATAAAAGTAAAAGATTTGTCTTAGAGACCGTTAAAGTTTATTCCCTTCTCTTTTTGTTTTTGTTACCATTTTTTCGTATAAATTTATCATGCTAATGAAATTTTAAGCTCTCTCGAATGTGACAATGTGAGATCTTTTATGATACATTTACACAATTCACTTTTCAAATTATAGGACTAATCCGTAAAACTCTAAATATAAAATTCTATGCTCTTAATTAATTGCATGATTTGGAATTTCACATATTTTAATGCACTAAGAAAAACTATACTGTATTTAATTGTACAATACAAATACTTTTCATCACGTAAAAAATACAATACGTTGACATTTAATTATTAAACGAACCTGGTTTACACTAATTTATTGTGGACCACTAACATTAGAGATACTATTGTTGTTTTATTAATAAAAAAAATCACTATATTTAAATAAAGGTTATTATGTTGAAATAAAAGTCATTGTGGTATTATAAAGGCTATAAGAGGCTTTTTTTTGTTTAATGAATTTTTTATATACGGATTAATATGAATAATAAAGGTCACTAGTATTCAATATGAGGGTTACTATAAGTCCGCTCAAGTTTTTTCGTGTTGATTTAAATTTTTAATCAATTGAGGACGGACCGGAGGTCCGGAGGTACATATTAATACTCCGTATATTATGTACACAAATACAACCAAATAAAACCTTTTTATTTTCTTCACAAGGGAAAACATTTTCATCTTCCTGCATATTCTGCAAACCAGAGATCAAAAAATGGCGACCATCACAACCGGCAACGGATCCCTTCTCCTCTACGCCAGCCTCAATTCCGCCGCTCTCCACCGCCGCAACATCCACCGACTTCAACCCATCGCCTTTCTCTCTCCTCCAAATTCCGTCGCAATTTCCATCCCTCCTCTCAAAATCTCTCTCAAACAACCCCTAAATCCCTTCATTCTTAAACCCCAGAATTCCAAATACCTCACTTTCTCCTCCTTAAACCCTAATTTCCCTCAAATCCCACCTCAAAACCCCGAATTTCTCTCAAATTTAACCAAAACCCTAACTACCCTGTTTTCGCTTTCACTTTCTCTCTCCTCCAAAATCCCCCAAATCATCAACGCTCAATTCCTTAATCTCAAAACCCTTTTCCTAACCCCATCTCCTCAACTGCTCGAAACCCTTCAATTTCTCCATGACAATGTTGTTTGTGCAGTGGGTCCCCTGCTTTTCGCCTCTGTTCAGGGTGTCCGAAGTGGGCCTCCATTGACAGCCATTGCTGCTGGAATTGCTAAATGGCTTGATATTTATAGTGGGGTTTTAATGGTTAGGATTTTGCTTAGTTGGTTTCCTAATATGCCTTGGGAAAGACAGCCATTTTCTGCAATTAGAGACCTTACTGATCCTTTTTTGAGCCTTTGTAGGAAGATTGTTCCTCCTGTTTCTAATATTGATCTTAGCCCTCTCTTGGCTTTCGCCGTTCTCGGTACTCTCGGGTCGATTCTTGGCAATGCTAAAGCCTAAAGTTTAATGGTGGAGTATTGGTGATGATTTATCAAGAAGAATTGTGTTTCAGTTTAAGGTATAAGGCCTTAATTCAATGTTTGTCAAGTTTTAATTGATTTGAGATGATATGTTTACTTTGTTGCTTATGTTTTCATTTGGTTTTGCATTTTGTGTTTGAGTTCATTGCTCATTGTATACTATATTGTAGTGTTTAATGATAAATCATGGATTGATCAAGTGATACTTGTTAGCTAGTTGATTATAAAGTATTGTAATGGATTTTATTGCATTCTATGTATGTGTAACTTTGTGTATGGTTTAGTAAGCTTAAATGCTACATGTTTCTTTGTTTAAATTGTTAAATCTTTGTTGGTGATTTACCTTATCCGGAATGAGGACATTGAAGTTATATTCAACGATGATTAATAAGTGCATGTTTATCTCTTGGTTTCGAGCCTAAATTGTGCTACTTTATACACACTAATAAAGAGCTACTAGCTTGACATATACTATTGGTCCAAGTCACTCTGTAGAGTAATCTTTTACTAACTTGCCAGGATCAGTTTCTTCTATCTACAATGATTAATAAACGCATCTTTATCTATTTGTTTCGAGCCTATATTGAGCCTATTCCTACTTTGGAGGACTATAATTCACGCCTAGTATGTATCTATATTGACTATGTGGACAATGTCTTGAATTTTAGGCTCCTGAAGCTAACAGTCTTCGCTTAGATTTATTTGTTGTAAGTTCATGTTGTAATTTAATTTTATTTGAAATGCTGGCATCATTTATTTGCTTCTTTACCTGAAATCTGGTCTAGTGTTTCTCTTTTGAACAAGACTCCATTATCCTTTTCTCGAATATTAATATGTCAGGGATTGTTTCCTTGTTTCTCTTTACATTGGTGTTGTTGCTTCTTTTGGGTCAATACTGTTAACTTGTTCAGCTAATTCTACATTTCTACACTAGAGTTTTGCCCGTGCAAGAGCTAGTAGAGTACCTTTGGTCATTGTAGCCTCTTTGTAACCTGTTTCATGAGTTTTTAACTTTTTATATATGTGGAGTGATTTTCCCCTTTTCTCCCACCTAAGATATTGCTGTCCATGATGGAAATCAATTAGTGGTGAGCGTTAAGATTGAAGCTGACAAGCATGAAGCAAGTCATATCAATGTTTGTCTTGGCTCCTTACAAAGTATCACCATTGTAAAGAGATTAATACCATGATTCAAGTCATTCGTAAAGTCTTGGAACTTGTTCCAACAAGCTAGCCTTCTTTTTGCATAATCATCTTGAATCAAATTATCTAGCAAATCAGATTGCAAACAATTGTTATCTAGAATATCTATTTTCTTATTGCTTTATGGACGTCTTCAATTGCATAGTTTATGAGTTGATTATTATTGACACTCTGATAGTTTGTGAGTTCATTGCAGTAGGAGGTTCTTAATTCCCTCATTCCCTGTGCATTATCTATCTACCAAAAAACAGAGCACAGAATTCTGAAATGTTTATGTTTATTTGTTTTGCCTTAAAAGGAAATTTAAGGTCAATAAGTTCTGATCAAGGCTAGCAAAATCAATTATGCTTAGATTTTCAATCAATAACCTCGGTTTTGAACAAGTGATGGTATTGTTGAAGCCTTCTCTATACTATTTATTCTTCCTCCCCCCCCCCCAGTGTTCTCACTGCAATGCTTGTTATTTGTTCAGGGAATGAAAAGACATGGGAGGAACGGATAGTGCTGTTTCTTTCTGCTCCAGGATCAGAGAGAAGTTATGGCTAGTAACAATGCCATGCATGATTATGAAATGACTTCATCGACAACTGATTGATGTGAATAAATTTTTGATCTTTGGTTAAATCTCAAAAAATTAAAGGGAAATGTTAACAGTTAGCACAGGATAAACACACATTTTCAATATTTTCTTGTACGGAGTACAACATTTTTTTGGATGGTAGGTGAACTTTGTGTCGTGTTTTTTATGGTATTTTGAGAAGCCAGTTTGTGTTATTATAAATCCAGGTTTTTTCTGTACCTTATATTGTTTATATCACGTATTGCCTCTTGAGATTTCTATTAATTTAGTTACCTACAGTGAAGAACACATCTTGGTATAGGCCATAGGGTGGAAATCGATATTGAATGCTTGGTACCTTGAATATTCTTTGAATCTCGGACCTTTCGTATTGCTCAGCAGCTAACTTGATCTCACAGATTGATCATTTGATTTTCGATAATCATGTACAATTAACATGTCGGCTGTTGTTGGTAGTAGCTAAGTTCACTTTTTAGATGTTCTATTACATAATCTTAATATAACTAGTTTACTACTTCATACATACATGATTCCATGATTCATTTTTTTTTTTTTTTTGAGGTACATACATACATACATGATTCTAAGATATCACACTACTCCCTAATTTTACAATTGAATGCACATAAAATTTTCTTAGAAGTCTTATAAGATAATAATAATCACAGTAAGTCACTGAGTGTGAATTTTCCATGATATGAACGAATGAACTAAATTAAAATGTGATTAATAATATTAAGTTACGAATGATCAACTGAATTAAATAATAACAACAGGAATCTTGGACAACAAAGTCGCTTTGGCCGAGTGGTTAAGGCGTGTGCCTGCTAAGTACATGGGGTTTCCCCGCGAGAGTTCGAATCTCTCAGGCGACGTTTTTTTTTTCCCTTTCTTTTTAAGTGTTGTCTTTATTATTAGAATCACAATGGATGCCGAAGAATATCTTATACTTCGGTTGTCAAAAAAAATCTTATACTTGTATGTAAATCAACTTGGGTAAATTACAAAACTGTTATTATAGCATTACAATATGCCAAAAGATTTCGAATATCTTATTTATAATCTCGAACAAAAAGCAGTCTAGTCTAAACATACATCATTTTCAAGTGAAAAAATATAAGAAGCCTAGAATAATATGATTGGTAGTCTAAGAACCAGATAGATTCTGGATGTATAGGAACTTATGCCTTATGTCCCACTCTTTAACTCTTAGAACACTAGTATAAATTGCTTCTTTTAATCGTCACTAATAATTATGTGAACAACATACAAGTTATATTCATGTATAGTTTGGTTAGAAATTGGTAATCTGCATCCTGAGGCTCAAAGGTAGCGCGTTGTGGAACCATCTTTCATCTTCATTCTACCATTTTTTGAGCCTCTAGATGCAGATGATCTGTCTCTTGCCAAAGCTACTTCTTCTGCCTTTATTTCAGTTATGATATCGAGTTTATATTCCTGCATGAAATGGTCTAATATGTTTATTTGTCATATATGCTTGAACGATTGAGGGTTGTCCAAGCGTGGTGGAGAAGTTGGTTGCTTATGACTTCTGTTTGATCAATAATAATAATTAGCGGATGTTCTTCCGTTTCTTTCCAAAAAAATATAGTGCTAAGAAAGTTGTAATTATAACACACAATAAATATCAAAATTAGGGCCGGCCTCTTAGATGAGGGGCCTGTGCTCTTGGATGCTTTATATGCCGTCATTGTCTTCATCAATAACCCTAGTTGGCAGATCAATAAGTGGTGTGTGCGACTAGTAAGTTGGATAATAAGTCACAATCGAATTGAACAACTATATAGCAGGCGCACCGTATACAACATGCTAATTAATCTAATGAGCGTGCTTTGATGAATTTTCAATAATTACTATACGTAACGATAAACCAAATAGGGTTATTGACTAAGTAGTTAAGCATGCACCTCCAACGAAAATGAAAAGATCTTGCCAAAAATCAATGAATACTCCATACTTCATCTTACAAGAATAACCTTAGAGCATCCACAATGGTAGTATAAAAGGACTTGCTTCGAATTCATAAATAGTTGGACCTACATGCTCACCATTGTGGAGCTACAAAACTTATAGCTAAGGCCAAACCTTGTAGCTTTTTGCTCCACCCAATGCACTTATATTGATTTGTTTAATATTTTTAATGTATTTGATTTTTTTTTTTTGGGTTTATTATTATTATTATTATTATTATTATCATTATTTCCAATTATAAAAATAAGTAGCTAACCATTGTAAAGGTTGTAGCTCAGATGTTGTAGCTTAGATGGTAGGATGTGGTAATTGCTGGCTACGTACATTGTGGATGCTCTTTTTTCTTTTTTTTTTTTTTTTTATATATATAATAAGTATTCCCTCAATTCAAAATGATATGCTCATTCTATTTCGCAAAATATGCAAAACAAAATTTTGACCATCAATATTTTAAATCCAACTATTCAAAACAAATTTAAGATAGATGAAGTTATATAACATGATAATACTTGGTAGAACTTTTTTAAGTCCAACTATATATTTTAAAAAAAAAATCAATATTCTCGTTAAATATTATGACCATCAATTTTTTTATTTCTAGTTGGTCGAACCATCAATATTCAAAACAAATTTGAGACAAATCCAACTATATCTCACATATTCACATGACTAAATTTATTTGAAATAGATCAATGAGAATACTTAGTCAAAATTATTAAAGTTCGACCATGAAAAAAAGAAATACATCAATCTGGAATGGAGGGAGCTAGTAGAAGAAAAGAATTACGAGTAGCTTCTACTTTGACACTTAAGATGTTTCATTATTTTAGGAGCAAATAATGAAGAATTTTCTTGAGGAATTAATTCAAAGCTCATTTTAGTCATTTAAAAGAAATTTATCACAAGATTTTTAGGAAAAAGAATGAAAAGACAATATTGTTTAATTATTTAAAGGAATCTAAGAATATTCAATATAGTCGCTTTGGCCGAGTGGTTAAGGCGTGTGCCTGCTAAGTACATGGGGTTTCCCCGCGAGAGTTCGAATCTCTCAGGCGACGTTTTTTATTATTATATTTTTATTTTAATAGATTTAGTTGGTAAAGTATATATTAAACTGTTCGTCTTAAGAACAGCAGTTGCTGCAGTAGCACTTTGGTTAAATCTTCAAACAATGAGATTCCAGGTTCGACTCCTGGCTGCAGCAAATATTTTTTCTTATAAACTCTTCATATTTTTTTTAATCATACCCGATGTAATACATACGTAAAATAATTTGCGGCGATTAGTTAAATTGGTGGAATATATTTTAAGAATTAAATACAAATATTGGTATCATAAATCGATGCCAAGAGAATATCTTATATAAAATTGTGATAATTTATAGTATCACATTAAAATGCCAAAGAATATGTGTAATTTTGATGAAAAAAAGCAGTCTAGTCTAAACATCCCTTTCAATTTAAAGATTGATACTAGATGTTGGAGACGAATTAAATTAAAAGAACCCAATGTCTTATCATTTAAACCCCACCAGGCCAATTTGAACTCAGGTACTTCACTAATCTAGTAAGCTAGAGTAGTATAAATTGCATTGTATGTTTCTTGTTAGTTATGACTGATATTGTAAGCAAACTTCAATTTTGATATCATAGTTTGGTTAGAAATGGGTAATCTGCATCCTGAGGCTCAAAGTGCACGCGTAATGATTGATCTTCTTCCATTTCTGAGCCTCTAGATGCAGATGATCTGTTTCTTGCCAAGGCTCGCTCTCTATTTCAATTCATCGCTTGCATGCGCACCAGCATGATTGATCGTGACTTCATGAGTCTTTGAAGTATATACATATTGGCTTGTTTCGGCTATATTGTTCCAAGCAGGCAATCATCATCATGAGTCCTCGAGGTTTTCTGGTGAGCTCATGTGATTTTAACAATCCCCCACAATGAACCGACAGCTCGAATTTAGTAAATTTGGATATAATTTTCCAAAATGTTTGGTTCAGTTTGTTGGTCGACACTATGGTTTGATGAGCAAGTAAACAACTAAACATGCTTGAATTGTGAAATTAATTGACCGATGGTAGATGAGCTTGTAATACAAGTATATAATAAATCTACATAAGATATTAAGATTACTATTTATATATTCAGTGTAACGCATTAATAACCAGGCCAGAGCTTATTGTGCTACTCTATGTAAATCTTTCATGCACTTGATTTCTTTATCTGAACATTTAACAATAATAGTACTAGGGGTGCTAATTGAGTTGAGCACCTCGCGAGCAAGTCGAACTCGACTTGATCAACGCTCGGTCAAAACTCGACTCGACTCGAGACGGTAACGAGCACGAGTTGAGCAAGTTTTAACTCGACTCGATAAGCTTATGAGCAACTCGATAATATATTTTATTAATATAAAATTTACAAAAAAAGTTACCATGTTTAAACAAATTTGACACTTAATAAGTGTTAATTTATATTATCAAAAAAGAAAGAGTAAATCTTTAATAATAAATATATAAAAATAAAGAAAGCAATATAAATGAACAAAAAAAATAAAATAAAGGCATATAATTATAGAAGGCCAAAACTTTAACGAGCAGATCGTGAGCTACTCGACTCAACTCGAAACTTTAATGAACAAGAGCCGAGCAGGTTTTATTAGCTCGAAACTTTAGCGAGCACGAGCTGAGCACATGTAAAAAGTTTTCGAGTCAAGTCGAGCACTCCTCAGCTCGTAATAAGCACCCCTACCAGTACCATGCCACGGTGCCACCCAATTAATTTAGAACATATGTCATGCACGGACTTAATTAAATTTATTTATTATTATTTCAGCATTAATTAAAAAAGAAAGAATGAAAATAATATTATTAAAATAATAAAGGAAGGTTTTGCTTATAATGAAATTGTAGGCTTGTAGCATCTATCTCTATTACAGTTTTCGTATGGAGTATAAGCTTATACTCCGTAGTAACATTAAAGATTGTTTTTAGTATATAATAAGTCGGGCTCACTAATAATCCGAGTTTGTTTCATGCTTTATGGTTTCAATTCAATCTCAAGTTCAAGGAAAATATTGAGTCATGCACATGATAAATTAAATGTGCTTTAAAAAATGAATCAATTATAATTAATGAAAAATAATTTTAATATTTCTTAAGTAATAGTCAGTTAATGTAATTAATTTCAGTTTAGTTTTTATAAAATCAAGTAAATTTAAAGAGTTCTTTATCATTCTTTAGTGAGTCCAGGCCAAGAATCATAGCTACAAATTTTTTAAGACGTTAGATTATTATACATAACTCTTTATTATCTATTGGTATAGAACTGATTCCAGGTTTTTTTAACTGTATTTATTTAAGGGATTTTCATTCATATTGCATCCAAACTTGAAATACTCCGCAAATGTTAATCATATGTGTAGTCTTTTTGGTCATGCCTAGTGTAAATATATACTCCGTACCTACACAAATGGATGCCAAGAGAATATCTTATAAATAAACCTGATGATTGAGAGTATCACATTTGTAGGCCAAAGAATATTTGTAACATTGATGATAAAAAGCAGTCCGGTCCAAACATCCTTTTCAACTGAAAAAATAGGAAGCCTGACGTATGATTGGGTGAAAAAAGAAAAAAAGATTGATGCTATTTGTTCAAGATTAAAAGAACCCAATGCCTTATGTCCCACCATTCTACTACTAGTATAAATTGTTTGGTTTATGACTAATTATGTATGTATGTAACAAGCAAAGTTCGATTTCATAGTTTGGTCAGAAATGGGTAATCTGCATCTTGAGGCTCAAAACGCGCTAAGCTAGCTGTTGAAGCATGATCGATTTTATGCTGTTTCTGAGCCTCTAGATGCAGATGATCTGTTTCTTGCCAAGGCTCTATTATTTCACTTAGCTTGCTCGTCTTATGTTTACTTTCTGGTATATATATATATATATATATATATATATATATATATATATATATATATATATATATACACACACACACACGTTGTTTTCAGCATGATCACAGGTTGAGAGATTATTTAAAGTATAATTAGATAGGACATGAGCCTTAAACCTGGGTACTAGTTCAACCTTTTCCGTAAAAAACTTTTCAGTAAAAATGTGTTACAAAAATTATAATATTTCAATTTCAGAAACATGTTGCAAGTATTAAATAACATAGTAAGTAAAATATTGAGACAAGTTTTGAAACCAAAATAATATTGCACGCAACAATATTTCACTACAAAGTATTTTTATTACTCCATATTCTTTTTCAATGGTAATGTTACAATGATATACATAGTACGTAATCAACAAGTACAATGAATCAAACACAAAACGTACAATTAATCATACACGCAATCATACATACATTACTCAAAGACAATTAATCACAATAAATACACTGTAAACAATTTTAACCACTAGATTTTCACGATTACCATAATACCCACAAGAGAATAATCAAGTTCCCAAAATAATTCGGATGTAGTATTCCATTTCCCAAAAACCTAGCTTGAAAACGATAGAACAGAGTTGTTTGCTCATTCTCCCGCCCTACTCTATAATACATAGTCATACTCCGTAATACAGAGTACAGACCACAACGCAACAACTTGGCGCACATTCAATGGCAACGGACAACGAGGAGAGAGAAACTATCGGCAATCGCCGCCGCCGCCTTGCCGCACCACCCGCCGGATGGTCGGAACTCCCGCACGAATTCCTCGCCGCAATCGCCGCTCGCCTCGCAAGTCCTCACAATGTTTCTCGATTTCGATCAGTTTGTCGAAAATGGCGGTCTTTAATTCCTCCCCAAAACCCTAATTTCATATCCCCAAATTTCCCTCGTAGAATTACTGCTGAAGCTAAACTCCCTTTCAATGAGAGGCATAAGTATGATTCGTTGTTTCTTGTTTCATCCTCTGTTTTTGTTGTTCAATCAGTTGATTCGCCTTCTGATTTTTGGGTTTTAACTGTTGAGAAATCGAATTCGGATAATTTTCGTGTTTTGTGTCCTTTTTCTAGGGATTTTGCTGCGAATTTGTCCAAGGATTTTCCCAAATCCCTTGATTTGTGTGATTTTAATGTGACTGAAATTGCTAAAGGTTATAATTTTAGGGTTGTGATCGAGGATCAAAAGAAGTATAATTTGGGACTTTCGTATTCGCTTATACCTCGTCGATCACTCATATGCTCTGCTTATAAGGTGATTATGTATCCGAATCCGAAGTCGGGTTTTAAAACTGTGGATGATTTTACTGTTGTGGTGTTGTATGAAGGAGGGAATTTAGCTGCTTTGAAATCGAATGGTAGGAAATTGTGGTATTTGTGTTACACTGGGGATGCTCATTTTGATGACATTGTTCTGTTTAAAGGGATGGTTTGTGCTGTGGATCGTTCGGGGCGAGTTTATGCTATTAATGAAAAGGCTAGGGTGGTGAAGACAATTGTAAATATTGCGATTCGTAGGGGAGATGGTGTTACTTATGATTATTATATGCGAAAACGTTTGGTGGAATCGTGTGGGGATCTTTATCTTGTTGTTTGGGCAGGTGTTTGTGCTCAAGGGAATGCTTGGTTCAAGGTTTTCAAGTTGAATGAAGCTCTTTGTAGGTGGTTCGAGGTTAAGCATTTGGGTGATCGCGCCTTGTTTGTAGGCTTTGATTGCTGCTTCTTTGTTTCTGCTAGGGAGTTTCGAGGATGTCAACCTAATCGCGTTGTCTCTCAAAGAAATTGTTTTCTTCGTTTTGGTGGAGATCATATCTCCGATGATTTTCTATTTGAAAAAGTAAGCAAGGGAGTAGAGAAGGTCCAACACCTCAAGGATAGTGAGATTATGGGGCTTAAGCCCATGCATGCTGGCTTTTTGCAATCATTATGGCATTTTTCGACATGGTATACTTAATTTTCCTTTGATTTTCTCTACATTGTGTGCACAGCCATTGTTATGAAATTCAAAGATCAATAACTCTGTCATCAGCAACTAAGTCTAGGATGCCGAATTAATCAATTTTACTTGTTTGTGTAGTGTTCTAAATTTGTGTTTTGGCGTTCTGTGATCATGAACGGAACACCTCTGAAAAGAGGAGAAAGAAGGCTATAAAATTGTTACTCCTTTTTGAAGTAAAATTGTTTAGTACACATAATGAAAATGATCAAAGCTCTGGTTAATTTATATATATGTGATATAGTTCAGAGGGTTTTGTAGCAATGAGTCCTGCATTATAACTTATTATTTTGTTTGTTTATTAAGGAATCCCGACGAAGAGCAAAAGTTAAAACCAGATCTTTGCAGCAAGGATGCACAAGTAGAAGATATGAAGCAAACAGTAGTGGTCAATACTTGCTTAATCAGTGATACTAAGAAGGCTGAAGGAGGTAATTATTTCTTCGATGCCATCAAACAAGATGTCACTGTCTATATGCTTTGTGCTTTTAGTTGTTCTGTACTACGAAGTATTTGTTTAACTATGGAACCAGAGATCATTACGAGACTATTTTTCACTCGGTTCCTGAGCCCTCATCTATATCGTCTTTATTTCAGGTTCTGGAGTTGTGCAATCTTCTCCAACTAATAGAGCAGCATTTCATGGAAAAGAGGTGAGGTCTGAGTTGGTGCCTGTATTAGAAAAGGTTTGGGCCAAATATGGGAACATCATTGAACAGAGTGCAATTCGTAGTTCTGATACAATAATCATGGCTTTGGAGTCTGTTGCAAAGGTGATAAACATTCTCCAAAATACCTCAGCAAATAAATTGACTGATCATCAAGTGAATTATCTGGTTTCAACCTTGTCAGACCTCCAACTTATGCAATTGAAAGTAGATTGGTTAGTCCCCTTTGTTGAGAAGGCTGTTGCACTAAACAAGAGCAGGCAGTTGGCGGTTGCCTTAATGGAGCTTGAGAAAGCCAAAGCTCATGTCGAAGAATTGAAACTGAAGCTCCTTGCTGAATCAGAGAAGCCGGACAGTGGATTAAATCTTGCTGTTGTGGAGAGCATATCTGCATCTGGTCCAATTGATTTGGACAAATGCCTAGGGGAGGGAGTCTGTTGATTTAGAGGGACTCCTGATTATCGTTGGTTGCTAGTTTTAATCAACTCGAATGACTCCTCTACTAGAGTATGGGTAGGCGTTGTCCAAGTGTGGCCGAGGAGATTGTAGCATCTGATTTTTGCTTAAGCATTATCAATACTATGAGCATCTTTCTCAATAATAAGTAATCCTTTTTCATTAACTAGTTAAAGTGGTAAACTGTCTATCTACTCTTACACCAGAAATTGAAGGTGCTTAATCATGTCAAAGATTCTTAAATTGTAGTTATAGAAGACCTAATGATCGATACACATTGATATTCAAGGTTGCATTATTTCGCATATTCCATGAATAGTTCAAACCATTAGATAAAATATTATTTCGCATATTTTACATAGCTGAAAAATAATATCAAACCACTAGATACAATATTATAAATAGTAATGAAATTACATGAATATTGTGATATATAGACAACAAAAAATAATAGCAAATAATAGAATACTTAAATTTAACAAAAAAAAAAATAGCAAATAAAGGAATACTTTATCAAGAAACACCAACCCAACAACTCCAACTCAACGCCATCGTCGAAGCAGGGGATTTCTACATCCTCGCTGAAGCCGACCCTTCCAAGTTCCTTCTCTCCGCCACCCTCCTCATCTCCGACGACACCTCTTCTCTCAACGGAACATGCCCTGCTTCCACCCAATTCATCACTTACCATATTATTACCCGCCATTTCAACTCCTCCTCTTTCCTACCGGAGCTTACCTTCCTACCCTTCTTCCCGGAAACACCCTCCTCATCACCAAAAACTCCACCGCTGCCACTCTTACTCGCCCTCGCCTCTTTCGAAGCTCCACCGGTGCCACTCTTACTCGCCCTGCCCTCTTTCGAAGCTCCGTCGATAGTGTTCTTGAATATGCCATGCTCGGGCAAAAATCTTGCACCACCGGAAAATTCATCGGTGAACAACACTTTGGACTTGACCGAAGTATCGATGGCTCGACGCGAAGGTGCATTTAGCAATTTTAGTGACCGTGGCTTTAACGGAACTCACCTTGCCGGCACTTGTTGCTATTGCTTGGGGGATATATTTTCTGTTTTATGAGTTTTGAAGATGACCATTTTAGTTGTTACAAATCGAGGTTATGTGTCAACAAACTTTGCGTAGTTCTTTCTTCTTTAGTTTGTGATTTTATTGTCATGTAGAATATTATTTCTAATTATTGATTTTTGTAGCTAGCTTGTTTCATTTGTAAGTTTTAGTGTGGCTCTACCATATATAGTGATGGTGGTATTACAATTTATCGAACTCTCTGTAATTCAGACAAGGTAGTTTGTAATTTTTGATTCCCATTATTCTTGCTCAAATTTGTTCATTTATGTTAGATTCTTTCTGAAAGCTTGGTTTTGACTAGATTTTGTCCAATATTATTGTGTTAAGTTCTCAATTTTGCATGGATTTGGAGTCTCAATTGTATGAATGTTTCTTCTGTTTAACTGCCCAAAATAAGTCACACATTTCATGATCCTGCCCAAATAAGGTTTTCATTACTACTAATTACATAATCTGAAACAGAATACTGCAGGATACATCACTAATATTTTAGAAAATAAATCAGGTTTACATTACTAATAATCATACTGGTTTGCAATTACATCAGGTTTACATCACTAATAATTACATAATCTGAAACGGTTTCAAACATTAACAAGCCGTCATACAGGAATCATCTATTGCGACCCTGCAATTGAAAACAAAATACTGCAGGATAGTTCCGATATACTTCTAATCCGCTGACATATTAAACATTGAAAATGATCACGAAATTCTTCTAAGCCGTTGCTGATATAGGCATACACTAGCTGATAGCTACTGGTTCTGGTGCCTGAAAATGAAATTGCAAGGCAAACTATTAGAGCTTAGGTAGAAAATCTTAATATGACAGTACTATAGGTGTGCGATTTCACTATGAACGTTCTCTGTAATTAGGGTAACATCAGATTCATCTTGATATTTGAGAGTACAAGTCTAAAGCAAACTTTACAAGTATTCGATTAAAATGCAATTGAACAATCATTGAAAATTTTTACCATAACAAAACATTGTGATCTTGAAATCTGCACATCATCCTTCAGCCAAGCACATTCTTTAGGTCTATAGGAGCTAGAGGAGCTGAGGCCACATCCATCCCGACCAGAAGGTTTCTTTGTTGAGCCAATCTCCAATCCAGATCATGCAACTATGCAAGAAGATTGGATTTTGACATCTCAAGTCCCTTCATATAATGTACCTGCTGCTGCTCATCGTGTACTGCCAGGGCCTTTTGTATGTAAGGAATTAGCCAGTCCAATCTAAAGCGCATACCCTGAAGATAATTCATGGTTGAATTCAAGTATGCAGCTTGGAAACCATCTAAGAACATTCCTGAGTCGCTTTGAAGAAGAATTATCATATTGGCTAGTGACTCCAAGGCCCATGTTAGCTGCTTATTAGTTTGCACTTCATGTCCTTGCATTATGTTCCCGTGTTTATCCCATATTTTCTTCAAAACCGGGACCAAATGAGAGCTCACATTTATTCCTTGAAATTTTGCCTGTGAAACACCATTTTGAACAATCTGCAAAAGCATGTATAAAAACTTAGAAGATGCACTAACAGTCTAAAAAGTAAAAACCAATTTCTTCTTTTCGGCTTATGAAAGACTAACTAATCTACCTCAGTAAAAATGGTGCCAATAGGTTTAGCATGACCTGCAACTTGTATAAAGGTGGGCAACGTTACTACTTGCACTAAGGGATGTTGATTAATTCCACCCGGTAACGACTTTGTAGCTCTTCCTCTTCTTCGTCTTCTTCCTCTTCCTCTTCCTGTTCAGAGCTGTCTTCCTCTTCCTCTTCACAAGAGCTTTCTTCCTCTTCCTCTTTGGAAGAGCCTTGTCCTTCCTCTTGCTCCTCGGAAGAGCTTTCCAAAGAACAACATACAAGATACAATTTCCAATTTAGAAAGACTTGAACCTTTAACATATTAGATTCATTGATAAGACAAGCAAAGTACATTTTGAGGGTGGAGTACTATCAATCCTTAAAATTTATTTGTATGTTACAACAACAGCGGAAAAAAAAAAAAAAGCATTTCCTTATTAGTTTAAGATGTGAAGCATCAATGTTCTTAAAATCAGCGAGTCTCATAACAATTGCCATATTAATACTCAGATATTATCTAAACTAGTAAATGTGATACTTCTTCGTACGTCTCATAATCATACAGACTAACCATCTTAAAGTATACTTGTCGATCATATAAGATTGCACTGAAATAAAAGTTAGAAGCATATCTTACTTAGTGGCAGATTCAGTATCCGGCAAAAGCCACGCTGGGGGTGGCCAGAACACCTCAGAATATTGAGGAGAAGGCGCTACAGACCATCCATAATTCCATATCCATCAATTCCACGCCCATCATCAAAATGGAAAATACCAATATCAAGACTGCTACCCGTATATTGAGGGAAGGTTCTTTTATAGTACACAATCGAATGACCTCTCTGACCAGGAAAATAATTTTTGTTGGCAAAGAAGCAGCCATCCAACGTTACAAATATTATACGATCACCGATATCTTTGACTGTTTCCCATCCCCCCTCTTCTTCTTGCAATCTATACACCTCGAAACTGATAGGTGATCGGTTTCCAGGCCTACGACATCTATAAACAACAACATAGAGTTCACCTAACAATTCTACCAGACATTTCTTTTTATCAGTTGTCGAACCCTCTCCTATTGGCTCCCCTACAATCCCCAACATTGATAACGAATCATAACCCGTTCGATACAACCTTCCTCGATGATCAATAGCATATACCCTTCCATTGAAGTTGAGGATATCATCAAAATTCCTTCCTTTGGTATTCAGATATTTTTCTTCCTCATTGTTAAGCCTAATTGCGGATAAAGTTCCATTACCATACAGCACCATAGCAGTACAATTATCAATTGTAGGATTGTTTTTATGTTTCGGATCCATAAATAAAACCGCTTTGTTCCTTAAACATCGGCTCTCAAACATGTCCAAAGGTCTATCAGCTGACCGTAAAGTACAGAATTTCCCAAGTTCAATCACTTCAAGATCAGATAACTGCAAGACTTTGGGGATATTTATTCGAGAAAGAGGTTTCCTAAGGTAGAATTTACCTGGGTTTAACTCCTCAACAGTAATAAACCAAGGTGAGGCCTTCGGATTTCGAGACGGTCGGAGGAGAAAAATAGAGCATGGTACAATGATTAAAGATTTTCCAGGAATTTCCGACGACATATGACTTGATCTGTTCTTGTCTAAAAGGGGAGGAGTGGGGGTTGAGATTTTGTGGGGTAAAAGAGGGGATAAGAGATTTTTGTGAGACTGGGGCTGATCGCCGCCATGTCGAACAGACTGTTCGGAACTTGCAGAGGTCGGTTCGTGTTTTGAGGCGCCCGCCAATGGCTGTAAGAAGCTCTGATGGTAAGTCCCACCAAGAACTTTTTCGACGGTTCATTTTTCTTTTGGTAATGAGCAGATTTTTGATTGATAAGGTTAAGTAAGAATTAGTGTAATCAGTTTTGGCGCCAGTTTTGAGTCTTTGTTGCCGCCAATTTTACTTGGAGACTAACATTTTTTTCCCGCGTAAAAGTTCAAACCATTATAAATAAACATTGCCTTTGGCGCCAAAAGGAAAAAAAAAATACTGTTGTTTTTTTTTTTTTTTTTTTTGTTTACGGGAAAAAATACTGTTGTTTTACGTTTGTAATTATTTCATTTTTAAAGTTATCTTATCGATACACAACTTAAATCATTAATGTAATTAATTATATACTTCTATATATAAATAGATATGCTTCAACATATACATACTACCTTCGTTTTTTTATTACGAAGTACTTGCAACAAAGGAGTATTATTTATAAAACATAAAATATCTCTTTGTTGCAAATACTAAGAAAATAGGGTAGTATGTACAAAGTTAACATTTTGCATAAACGTTGAGATGAATCCAACAAGCTTCTGCAAGATTAAGTTTTTTTATTTAAATATAATAAACCAGCAAATACAGTAAAAAAATTACTATAGCTTGTAAACATGATTTATACTTAGTAATGCAAATGACACTGTCAGTAAAATAAAATTGCTGATGCAGAATCTTCTTTGTATCGTTCCATTTTTATTAAAGGTCTTCGAAGAGACAACACTTATACTTTTTTTTTTAGGATGTCCACTCGATTCACCAAAGCTTAGCTCCGATTACATCCGAATCCGACCTGGGTCGCACACCTATTGTATGGTGGGTGAGTTTCCCAAAAAAAAATTTTGCATATAGTGAGACTCGAACCAAAGACCTCCCTTAAGCGATATCAAGTTGCTTACCACTTGAGCCAACTCTTGTTGGTAGAGACAACACTTTTACACTATCACGCAAGAAACAACATATTGGCTGACCAATACCAAGCTGTTTCCAGAAGGCTAATCGCTCAGTCTACAAGTCAACTAATAGTAGTACAGGCATACAGTAATAAGTAGTTTTCCTGCAGAACTTGAGATATATCAAAGGCAGATTTTTGCCAAACACAAACAGAACAAAACTCTTCCTTTCATCCATTAAAATTCCACCATCAAACAAGGTTCCAAAAAAGCAAAGAGACGCGACTCACACAAGACATATCCTTAAACTTCAACAAGGGGTGGATCCGTGGATGTGTGAAGATGTAATATGAAACCATCGAGCATGAGATCTTGGACTCCTACAACTCTACAAGCAACCAGTACAATATGTACATATGCCACAAGTTACAACTAACAAGCAAACCTACAGAAGCAGAGAACTACTAGCTTTTAGTAAAGTATGAGCGCAGCGTGGCCTGTTTTTCAGCTCCACTCTTAACTTTACTCTTCTTCAAGGGAGTCTGGGGTAGCTTACCAAGTTCACCGGTGCTCGGCTTGGAATCAGCCAGGAACTTTTCATAATCCCGTTTCACCTCAACCTTGGAGTCAGATTCAGGAGTCAGAGTGGTAACATCAGACTTTATCTCAGTAACTGTCCTTCCACAGGATGACAGTTGCAAATTTGCTTGTGCCTCAGCTTCCTCTTTAACATCACTCTGCACATCATTCTTCGTAGACTCCTTAATTGTCTTATTTGATTCCTTATCATCATCTGTTCCTTTCTTGGAGAAAAATTTTGTGATAGGGTTGGACTGCTGCTCAGATTTTAATGGTATCTGCACAGCATAACATTATCAGCAATTTTTCTTTTGCCTACGTTATTCTCCCCTCCTCCAATAGAAATTATTAAAAGAAAACACCATACTCATAGATGCTATGCTTTTAGCCCACTAGAGACATTATATATGACATGCAAGAAACAAAAAATAGCCATACCTCTTTGATGCATTCAGGACCATCAAATGATGCCTTGTTCATTGCCATGGTCACCGGATACCAAATCTGACAGGAAAAAAATAATCATCAAGGTTCACACTATTTTGTAAACATGCCAACCTTCTACAGTCAAAACTTTGCTGCATACAAAACTTTGAGATATTCTTACCAAATCTGCTTTTTCATATGGTTTAAGCACTGTATTGAACTTGGTATCTGAAGAACCATTCAGCCATAAATCTGTTGAGGCTTCGTCTCCCAGAATAACAGGCATCCTATCTGTACATCAAAATGAAGTACATAACATTATAACAAGCCAGCAAACCTATAACTTTCATAACCATTTATCTCAACTAAGCAATAAGATTGCAATAACAAGATACAGAAATCAAAAACAAGATATGATCTCCATATTTTACAATTGGAGATAAAATGAGAGGGTGTATCTACCCACATGTCAAAATGATAATGTAGAATAACAACAAATTGTAGGGTGTTTCTCCAGCTGTAAAAGTACGAGTAATAATTAGGAAATAAAATCTATTTTGCAACCACAAGATTCCTCGTTGTCATGCATAATAAAATAGGCAGTTATACCACTCTAAAAGCTCACGCTGCATCATTGGTAAAATAAAAAATGAATTGAGAACGCAGCTGAATAAATCAGATAATCGAGTCCTGTTACATTGTACAATACTCAACATGTCACCACCAGTACATGGCAACCTTCAGCCTCTAGGTATCAGATTTTTTAAAAAGCAATAGCAAGTAGAAAGTGACCTTTATCAGCACTCTCATTCTGTGGCAAATTATTAATCCACTTTCTTGACATTCTCCTCTTCACTTCTTCAAACCCCCCCCCCCCCCCAACCCAAATCAACACCACAATCCCCCCAGAAAACCTTGAATCAAACAAAAAGAAAATCATCTCAAGTACGCAATACGGGGAAATTGATTACCATGCAGCCACTTAAGATCTGATGATGAATCAGTAGTTACGATGGTAAATGTATATAGAATTTCTCCTGCAAGATACATTATAAAGGTGTAAGAGATTGTAGAGGACAAGGACATCCAGATCTGTTCAATACATATTCCAATTGTTAAAAAATGTACATTTAGAATAGCTCGAGAATAACATTTTCCCATATACTTCCTTCTTTGACCAGGGTAAGGGATAATAACTCACAGCTATAGACCACCATGGTAAGTGCCTAAGTGGTGACTGATAAATCAAATGCACAATCCACATATTTGAATCATGGTATGACAAGACTATCTAAAGATTCTAAACTCAAATAGAGCTCCGGATAAAGTAAACCATCCATCAAATGGAACTCCACGATTTGTAAGGAAAGTAGAATAGAAACTGACCTTCAGAATTTTTCCATGAATCATAGAGGGCAGCAAACACTAGAGGGCGACCATCCTTAAAATGAATGTAATATGGCTGCTTCTTAGGACCTTTCTTCCATTCATAAAACCTAACCAATTAATAAGACACAAGTCAAACAAATGCACAAAAGTAGCAGGCAAGTAGCAGTTGAGGGATAATATGTCAAGCACACAGAACTAGCAGTTAGTTTGGGGGGGGGGGTCATTTAGTTCAACAAAATCAGGAAGGAAATTTGGAAGATACCCCAGCTCCAAGTTTCATGATTGCCATACAGGGCATACCTCCACAGCCCCAGCCCCTCCCCCACCCCCCCCCCCCCTTTTTTTTTGGGGGCAAATTTGGAAGACACCCCAGCTCTAAGTTTCAAATTCTTTTCTAAGAAAATCAAAATATATACAAGTATACTCCAAAAAAATATATACTGCCACTAATTATATACAAGTACAAGTATACAAACATCTCACTACATTGCTACTGCCACCACCATGACCATACCTTCCAGCTCATCACCACCCCTGTCCCCTACCCTCCTCCTTAGTCCTCATTACCATCTCCACTGCCCCTTCTTTACCATTTATCTATATCTCAGCATTTTCCTTGCAGTTACTGGTGCTTAGGTGGAAGCTAAGTGGGAATCAACTACCCTTGCTTTTAAAGCAAAAGGCTGATAACAAATGCAATAAAGCAATATGCCGGTAACTAATTATCTATGTACTTTCTTTACTCAAATGACAGGACTAATGAGAAGGTGACATAACCCATGACATGCTCGAGATCAACAGGATTGGGCAAAGTTGCCAAGCATGCAGTTAGAGCTTTCATTTCTACATGTTGTGCTCCTATTAGAGAACCAACAAAGATAAGCTTTGTGGAAAGGTTTTTAAGATGCTTATACAACTGTACAAATCAAACAGAGCACTTAACCACATGTCCTGTCTTGCAAAGTCAGGAAAAGGATGCTAAAATCAAAATCCTTGGACCAACAATGGTGGTTTCCAGTGCAACATGCAATGCTAGACTCTGGAACAAGTTGCATAATGTATCAGAACAAAGTCAGCAAAATTAGTGAAGAGAAACATAAGGCAGAAATGTTGGTAAGGCCTTCATTTTTTTTTTTAACTCAAAGTTGCATCTTCAAATGACTTTATTGCATTAGATTATGATTGCACTCCATATAGAACATTCAAGAGGAAGTAATCAATATCCAAGAACAAGAAACGACTAAATGCAAAAGGATGCTGATACCTGAAGCCCATGATCATTAATGGTGACCATGCTAAAGTCAAACAATTGTAACTAAATATCTAAAACAAATATGAGAAAGAAGAAAGTAAAATATACAACACCAAGGAACAAACAGAAAAAAATGGGAATTGAGATCAGAGCTTTGTAGTTCTAACTGTCCATCTATAAAAGATAATCTACACTCCATTATCAGGATATATCCACTTTCAAGGTGCAGGAGCATCCAAATGTAAAATCAATTAAACAACTATATTTACAATATTGCAACAAACATGAAAAGAAATCATCAAACTGGGAAAAAACAAAATTTAAAAATCAAAAAATGGATCCAGAAATTATACTCATACCCTTCCACAGCAACAAGGCACCGGTTTTTAGGAATTAGTCGACGAAATGAGGCCTTTTCCCCAATTGATTCAGACCTTGCATTAAACTGAGAATATTTACAAGACACGCAACTCAATTTCTACTACAAACTATCATTAATGTACTCAAAGAAAAAAGGAGATTGAAGGGGAATTAATAGTACCATCTTGTAGTGATCAGGTTTCTCATCCTTCTTGGTGAAGCTAGGAATTAGCCCCCACTTCATACAATGTACGGCTGCAGTGTAACCCTCGTCTCCACCACTTTCACGACGAAGTACTGGCAGGTAAGATCCCGGTGAGACATTATATGCAGGCCGGTACCTAAATCAAACAGATTATAAAACCTTTGCATATACATACATTCCTTTTTCTCATAGTATGCATCTAACAAGAAGATTAAACACTCAAAGCTATTCTTTTTATCGATTGTAGGCTTAGTAGTATATCCTATTGAATTGGGGTTTGTCCAATTAACTTATTTTGCCTGAACTTAACTTTTTTTGTTTGAAATCATTTTGTATGAACTTATCTTAATTTATTCAAACTTAATTGTTTTGGAATATGTCAAAATCAGTTGAACAAAATGGGGCCTAATTTGTGTAAATTAGTACACCTAAATAAACATTTCGAAACAACCCAGTTCATCATTGGTTATACAAATGCAAACTTGAATTAAAACCCTAAAAAATGCCTTAATCAAAATCAAAAGCTACCCAGTTCAGCCATAGAGGGTATACTTTTCGCACTTGAACTAATCATTGAACTAAAAGGAAGTTGAGAAACATAAGTAATACAGTAAATTTTGTAAAGTGAAACTGAAAATTGAAAGAGAGGAAGAAATACCGGTCGACATCAACTTGACGAACGGAAGTATCGCGAAGATGGCAAGCTCTTGGGACGTCGTCTGGGCGGATAGTACAGCGGCATCTTCCGCACATCTTTAATTTCTCTCTCCTACTCTGCTATAGTAGCTGGGTTCTTCAAGTTCTGGTTTCTTCTTCTAACTTTTTTGGTAACTGTACATTACCAAATGCGGGAAGGAAATGGGCGGTTTGGGGGAGGGGGGGGGGGGGGGAAATTGAAATTGTTTCGGGTGAAAACAATGGGACCTTGCCGAAGGTCCGCTGAAACGGAGAAGGCTGGATTCGGTCCAAGTTATGTTGGGCCGAAGGTTTCCTGCACAGTAAACACACGTAAACTAGCCTCGGGGGTGTTGCCGAGGAAGGCCCCTCCGATGCTAAAGTCAGTACAATGTGTAAGAAGAGGACACTATGCAAGATAGTTTGTTGCTTGAGGCTTTGATGGTATATCTCAGAATATATCAATGAACATAATAAATGTATCAATATTGATGGCTTTTATACCTCATCATACATGGAGAGGTTGGGCCTTAGCCCAATTGGCTTGCTTTGTGGGCTGACCTTTGACTTTAGCACAATTGGAGAGTTGAACCTTGACCTTGGGCTTTAATTGGATCATTTAATGCCTAGGCCCAATTGGACTAAATTGGACCCAAACAACTTGCCCCCCAGACCCGATTTGGAAGGATGACGGGTCGGGTTTGATTTAATTCAGAAAAGGAGGGAAGTAAATGATTTAATTAATCCAAAAATTTGAATTTAAACCGTAATTAATGAGATAACAACGGTTAAGGCGAATGATTGTGGAAGTTGGACGGATAATGGGCAGTTTAATCACAAGATCATGTGTTTAACGGTTACTTAGTGGAGTATTTAAGAGAAATTAAAACGCAGACTCCTCGTATCCCATTCCTGGAGATATAAACAGAGGCGCGTCATCTCTCCTCACTTATTCACCAACACAAACCCAGAATTCTCGAGAGAGAAACCAAGAACCCGCATCAAAACTTCGCAAATTCCCCGAGCATTAAGCTTAGAAACTGAGACTTGCCACTACGAACTCGTAAATCGGCAACTTTCGCTTCAGATTAAGGTAAATTCCTTTGATTTCAGTTTATTTTTCTTCGAATTCGAACTCCTTCCCCTTTTCTTTCGACTTTTTTCTTTGAAATAATCAATGGCAAGAGGAGTTAGAGGTAGAGCCCGTGCTCCAAGAAGAGCAAGGCCGATTCCCGATCCTAGGAACAGGATTGGGACCTGGAATGGACAAAGGCCAGAGTCTGACCCTGCTGAAGGGATTAGGGCGACTCCCCTTTCCTCGGCTCCTCCTCAGAGAACGGAGGAGCCGAGCGCTTCTGGACGGGATGATGAAGTTCCCGCTGTCCTTTGGGATATCCTCCTCGGGTTTTCAGAATGGGAGAATGCCGAAGTTGCTTCGGCCATGATAAAGAACCGCCCATACTCATGGTGGGTGGAGAATGCCGATCAATATCGATTTGCCGAGCAAATTGAGTTGCATTACGGCATTTTTGAAGCTGATGGGTATTGGTGTCGAATGCCCTCGGCATCCGATAGAATCCATCGTCCACCCCCGGGGTATGTGGGGGTGTACACTAGACAGCTTCAGTACGGGCTGAGGTTCCCTTTGGATGTATTCGTCCGAGACTTGCTGATCCATTACAACATCTCTCTATGTCAGTTAACTCCCACCAGCATCCGAAGGGTAATGACATACTTATGGGTCTGCAAGTTCTTCAAGTATGTGCCGAACCTGCACTGCTTCAAAAAGCTCCATCGGCTAGTGCCAAATATTCAAAGTGGGCACGGAAGCCATGGTTCTGGGTGGTACCGGATTGAGTCCCGGCCCCAATACCTAACCATGTGGCCAAACGACTCTTCAGACAAGGACTGGAGAGGTCAATGGATTTGGGTTAGGGCACCCACAGATCCGGGCCACCCTTGCGTCTTCAGCGCTCCCCGGTACCTCGCTGAGCCTGATCCCGAAATGGGAAGTCTAGGTCCCCCCGCAGATAACGGGGCGGATCCGAACCTTGATCAGCAACATATCTTCGGCAAGCTGCCGAACCGGGGGGGCAGTGGCCGAATGCAACATATCCCGGAGACTTGGCTCCCCGATACGCATACGTTTTCCAAGAGAACATGCTAGCAGCTGTTGGCCTCAGCCGAAAGTTTAAGGATGGTAATCTTCTTCGGCTGGGGCCGAGGCTTTTTAATTATCTCTTTTTCTTCTCTCGCTTCGCTTTTTTATGCTGTGCCAACCTATCTGAACTGACCTTTCCCCTTTCCTTTTTCAAAGCGGGACGAGACCAACGTTGGCATTAACTACGCTCGTCTTGGTGTCAACCGAGAACGAGTTGTAACTGAACGGGCCCCGTCTATCACTGAGCCGAGGCATAGGGAAGTTCATCTAGACTCTTCCCACTTCCAAATTGAGGCTGTTGCTCTGTATCAGAGGCAGAAGCCTTGGTGGAAGAAGAGAGACCCCTGGTTTCAGCTGCTGGACGAAGAAGCTGAAGCTGCCCGTACAGCCGAAGAGGTTGCACGGGTTCTCGAAGCTTGCGAAGGAGGAGAAGGGTCCTCCAGAGCTGCTGAAGCAGAAGCTGCAGCTAGGGCAGCTGAAGAAGACGAGGCTTTGCTGAAGACCTCGGTGAGCTTTCAGACTTAACTTTGTCTTTCTTTTTTCTTTTTTTTTTTTTTACTCACATTCTTCCTCCCCCCTGTCTGTTACAGTCTGAAGAGAGTAACAGACATAGAGAAGGGAAAGCTCCTGTTCGTCCCGAAGACCAAATACAAGGAGAGTCTTCAGACTCAGATATGGACGAGCAGCCCCTTCAGAAAAGGCGCCGAAGGATGGCCATCATCGGCCCTCATGACTTTCAGCGGAGGCCGATGACCATCGGCGTTGCAATAAGGGAACCCGAGGAAGGCAATGGATCGCCGAGGGTTCCCCGGCCACCACCCCAATCACCTCAAAAGACCCCTCCGCCACCTGCTGAGATGGAGGTGGATCAGAGAACTCCCGAATCTAAGGGAGGGGTCCAAGAAGAAATTAAGGAGAGTGCTGCTGAGCACGAAAACAAGGATGCCGTGATGCCCAGTGCTGAGGGCTTCACGGCAGACATCGCAAGAGAGGTTGAGGCTTTCGTCCTCACCCCTGAAGAAGAGGAGGTCATAGTAATTGACTCCTCTGAGAAGGATGATGCTGAGCCATCCAAAGCTAATCAAGCTCCATCGTCATCCTTCCCTTCCTTCCAGACTCTGCAATCTGGAGAAATGGGTTTCTCGGCCCCCCGAATTCCAATCCCAGACCACATCTGGGACCTCATATGGGGTCAGAACCGAGAAGGAGCTGCAGCCTACTTCGGCGATTTTGCTGGCATGTCCGAAGTAGATAGGGCAAGGATCTGGTCGCTGAAGGCCACTGCTGGGATGGGCGAATCCAGCAGATCAGTTCCTGACCCAGCCAGGTCTAACCAACTGCTGATGATGCAGGTAATTTTCCTTGTCTTCATTTCCTCTGAAATTCAGCTCTATTTTTATTATTATAAATATATTTTTTTATTTATTATTTTTTTTTTGTCTTCCTGTTTTCAGTTCGTGCACAATCAGACTCTCACTGTAGAGCTGATAGATACCCTACAAGATAGGGTAGACGCTGCTGTGCACGACAAGAAGGTAGCTGAAGAGGAATTAAAGCTTGCTAAGCTGAAGCAAGCAGCAGCTGAAGAGAAGCAGCAGAAGGGTGAGGAGTACGAGAAAAGAGCTGCTGAAGCCCTCAAAACCTTCTGCGACGCTATGGAGAAGGAAGTTTTTCCCCCACTGATGGAAGGGGAAAAATTCCTCCAGGAGCATATGGGAGTGGACGTCTCCAAATTCAAGGCTGTTGTTGAGAGCCGTATTCAGGAAGGAGCTGCTGCACAAGCTGAAGTGCAGCAACGTCTAGAAGCTCTTGAAGCCAGCCGAATGGCTGCTGAAGAGCTGCTCCAGGCCAGAGATGTCCAACTCTCAGAGGCTACTGCTGCTGCCGAGGCTCAGAGAGCTAAGCTCCATGAGGCTGAGGATCAACTGATGACCAAAAAAGTTGAAGTGGCCCAGGCTCAGACAAAGGCTTCCCAAGTTCAGCAGGAGCTGAATGAGCTGAAAGGTTCCTCCTCCAAGCTCGCTGATGAGCTGAAGAAATCCAAGGAATACTTGGAGGAGACCCAGAAGAAGCTGGCTGATGCTGAGGCTCTACTCAAAGTCCGTGTCTATACCCAAGAGGAATATGAGATGGGTTTCAGAAACGGGTTCAGAGTATGTCGAAGAGTCTGCCTTCATGCTGAACCGAAGCTGGACTGGTCTAAATGTGCTGAATGGGTCCAGAATCCCGAAGACCCTCATATGAAGTATGCAACTCCAGTCGAAGCTGAAATTCTTAAGGCTGAGGAAGCCGAAGAGGAAGCTGAGAGAATGGAGCTGGAAACTGAACAGAGGGAAAGGGAGGCTCGGCAGAGTGCAAAGCCCGCTTCTTCTGCTGCTGGGGCTGAGGCCACCATGGGGCCCAACGCTGATCAGTCTGATCCTCAGGCTGAAGCATAGGAACTCGGGCAGTCGTCTTCAGAATCTTGCGGTTCATCATGCGCTTAACTTTAGACTTGCCGCTTTCTGAATTTTTTGCCTTGTTTTTTGCTTTAGCTTGCCTTGTCGTACAACAGTTTTTTTTTTTTGCTTATGTACGTGTTTCGGCAGCTGTTATTTTCCGCTTGTGGGCGGCTGCCGATACAGTTTAATTGAACTTGTAGCTCAATTTCTGAGCATGAATTATTAATCTGATACTCTTTTCTTCAGTTGCTTTGTTTTTGAATGCTTTACTGTTTTTGTTTCTTCAATTCTGCCGAACATACTTGCACTGATAGTGCCTCTTGCCCCCCCCCCCCCAGAAATTGAAGTATGACTTCAGATGAATAAGCAATTTCTTCATTTCTTCAAAATGGGTATCCGAAAAACAGGGCCAACTGAAGGCAATGCTTCTGGGATACAAGTCTTACTGAAGATTGACTTCATCTGAAAGTTGGATATCCGAAACACAGGGCCAACTGAAGGCAATGCTTCGGATATTAGTTTTCTGGGATACAAGGCTCAGTTAAGGCAATATCCCAGAATTGTCCATGGACTCATG